GGGGGGGGGGATTTATTAAAACTAGAGCTGACAGAATCTGGAGCAGTTGCCCAGGACAACCAATCAGCACCCCTCTTCAGTTTGCTCAGGTAAGATTTGAAAATGAGACGGAGAAGCTGATTAGTTGCAGTGCACATCTGCTCCAGTTTTGACAAATTCCCCTCATTATGTCCCCAAAAAATTAGGTCAGCTGCCTACCTGAATATACTGAATGACCAGGTTTTTCAATCAATGGATTTTTTTTCTTCCCTGACTGCACGAGCATATTCCAGGATGACAATGCCAGGATTCAGTGGTCTCAAATTGTGAAAGAGTGGTTCAGGGAGCATGAGACATAATTTTCAGACTTTAACCCTTTTGGGAATCTTTGGGATGAGCTGCAGAAGACTTTACGCATCATCCTCACTACCAGATCTTGGTGCAAAATAAATGCAACTCTGTATGGAAATACATGTTCTGACATTGCATGAGCTATAGGGCTGCAACCAACCAATCGATTAATCCATAATAATTGATAATGAGAATAGTTGTCAACTATTCTCACTATCAATTAGTTGGCTTAATCCCCTAGCTCTCTCCTCCATGCTGGTAGGAGAGCACAGCAAGCAGTGGGTGCGGGTTCAATAGCCATTCTGCTATTGGCTATTACACCAGCCCACTACCTCCTGTATTTACATTCAGCTGCTGTCTGTGGAATCTTGCCACTGGCAGCAGTCATTCCCTGGCTCAAGCTATTCAAGCACCATGTGCTTACAATACAATTATTCAAAAAAATATTTTTTTTTATAAACCGGTGGGAAAAAGTAATTTTTGGTTTTGGCCTGACAAATTCTGGTGTGCAAGGTGCGTTGCAGTGCCATTAATTTCAATGGCACCCCAAATGCGCCTCGCACGCACAGTGTGATTGCCCGAAGTGGGCTTTGTAACACTGCATTTGTGTATTTCATTTTAAATTAAGGATGGTATTTATTTAAAGGAGAACTATGGGGTTAGGGCTTTTCCCCATAGTTCTCCGAAGGGTAACGGGAGGACACAAAGTAGCGTCCTCCCGTTACCCAAAGCTCAGTATACCGCGAGCTGCAGCTCGCGGTATATTGAGACGCATCAGCTGATACGGATCCAGACAATTATGTCTGGATCTGCCTTGCTGCGTGAGTGACAGCTGGCTCTGCCTATCTAGAGGCAGAGCCAGCTGTACCCGCCCCCTCCCCCATCCGTTCCGCCAGTCAGCGCTGGAGGATCGGAGCGAGGAGGGGGAATCCAGTCCCTCCCCTGTCACGGCTCTCTGCCGTGACGTGATCGAGAAGTGAGCGAACACCGGTATGTGTTTGCTCACTTTCCGATCTACTGAGCCGACCTGTGACAGTTTCATTGTCACAGGTCGGCTAGAACTAAGGATGAGTGAAAAGCACTCGCCTCATAGTTCTCCTTTTTTTTTAAATTTTTTTTTTTTTTTACTCCAATTAATCGAAAAATAATCAGCCAACTAATTGATTATAGAAATAATAATTTGTTTCAGCCCTAATAAGCTTATTAAAACGATACCACGGTAAATGCGTGCCATAAGCAAAAGGTAGTTCAATAAAATGTTCTGTAAGCACTTGCCTTACCTTATGTGATGCCTCCTAGATGCGATCATCTTCTTCCTTCCACTCGTTTCCAACAGTCCCTCCAGGGCTGGTGCTGGTCTCTGATCCAGCACAGACTCCTTGTGTCCCATGGAGTCTATCTGGTGTGCACACTCCCAGCTGTGTCCATTTTCACTTTTTTCTCCCCTCCGCTCTACTGCGCATGCGCCCACACACTTCCTACTTCACAGCCGTTCAGGAGCCAGGAGTTCTTCAGCGGCGCTGGAATAGGTAAGTAGTAAGGTATTTGCCGTCCTTCCTTTTTTTTTTTTTTTCTTAAATCATGGGGCATATATCTACTGATATATGCCAAAAAAACAAGAGACTTTAATTCTACTTTAAGATGCCTAAATATTGTCTTTTATTTTGTAATATTGACAAAAATTGTCATCTTTCAAAGCATGAAAGTGTCAAAACGTGTTTGTTTTTCAGATGTGTGTAAAAATTGTCACCATGTGATTGCAAAGCACGAGTATACCTTCAGTGTGGTGGACGAATACCAGGTAGTGTATTTTTTTGAGTTGGCAAATAAGGTTTAGATCCTCATACATGCATCAAGGAAATCATGATGTCAGCAGATGTCCAAATGTTGCAGCAGGGGCTGGGGAAGGTGGGGCCAGGGTGCATCAGGTAGCAAAAATGTTCCTGGCTAACAGATGATTTTCCCCTAAGATTTCAGTGACATGTGGTGTCTGCTGAGTGCACAGATGTCTGTTTTTAGGATATGTCATTGTTGTGCACCTGCAGGTCTGTTCCTGGGTCTGATCATTTTACCATCATCCAAATATCTTTTGATGCCAAGTTTTTTAGGTGTTTCCCAAAAGTCCTCATTTTAGCTTTGATATGGCAGGGCTTGGCCTCGGAAAGAGAAAACAAAATGGGACAACAGAAGAGCACTTATGTATTCCATTGTTTAATTATCTCTACTGCCTGGCAGCTGTCACTAGTGTAGGCGGGTTAGTGACAATCTGGAGGTTGGTTGTCTTGGCTAAGATAGAACCTGGAGGGACAGAATGACAGATGGTACAGAGTAACATGGCAGTGTCAGAAATTACAGGCTAAATTTATGTTTAATGTAAATCATTTTCCCCAATCATCTTCCAGGACAGCAACCTAAGAGATGATTCTCCTTCTCCTCCTTCTACAGGAAACACAAAACAGTTTTAAAACCCCTCCCTCCCCCCCTCGTCCCTCAGTTTTTGATTGTGTTTCCTACCGTCCAGGACTGCAGAACATTTGTTGTTTTATCCTGACCAGATGGCTCTTAGGTCAGCGGCCCCCCTCTGTGCATCTCTGTTTAAGGTGGAAATCCTGAGGCCTTGCTGTGTGTTGCAGAGGAATCCCCCTTGTATTTCCTGGATCTTGTCCCACTTTTTTGATGTGGAGGACGACTCCTGAAGCCCCTGGCTTTGCCTTGTCCTCCTTGTCCCTCTGTGGGGGGTAGCATGGCTCGGCCGCGGCGCTGGAGATGCAGGGTGCGCATTGGCTGGCTAGCGGCGCTGCTGTGCATTCCAGGCCTCGTTCTGGGATGTGTGGCATCACTTCCAGTTCCTGTCTTTGTGGTGGCATCATTGCTGTGATATCATCTCCAGCCGCCGCCATTTGTTTTGGAGCCAGACAGTTTGGGGAAAAGACGCTGCTGCCACCATGGAGGAGGAAGGCAGAACGGCAAGAACATCAGCAAAAACAAAAGGGGTAAGTGCCTTGCAGGTTCTTATGGCTCCTCCCTAGAATGCTTTGCTGTTCTGTTAGATGGTGTAGCAGAATGTATTGGGCCTGGTCCTTGCTTCACTGGTTGTTTTTTTTCTTTTCCCCAGGGATGCAGCAGTTTGACAAGACTAGCTCTCAGGGTCTGTTGCCCCAGCCTTAAAGCAGGCTAAAAATTGTTGCAGCAATTGTAATACTCGGTTACTTTCTTTCTATCCGAAAGCTTTTTGTGAAGATTGCATTTATAAGCTTATGGCAAATGAATCGGTTAATCTCATGGAAGGATTTATGGATTGTATGCGTAACGAAATGGTACTACGGTTTCAATCATTTAGAAATCTACTTTCTGAAATGGTGCCCTCTACTTCTTCAGCAGCGGCTGTAGCGGGACCTTCTGGGTTACCATCTTAGAGGTCGGTGGTGATATCCCCTGAGAAAGAAGAGAAGGGAGAACAGGATGCTCAGCCCTTCTCTGATCGCTCTTTAGAAGTTGGAGAGACTTTGGAGGATGGGGGAAGAGTCTTGCCTTTCTAGACACCTTTTTTTTCCCTGGATTACATTCTGCACCCTCTTTAGCAGCCACCTGTGTGGCTAGGAACATGGACCTTTTGGATTGAAAGGGTATCGCAGCACGTATCCCAAGGGGCTTTTGGTGAGAAGAATTTAAATTAAATTGCTGTAGTCAGTAGGGCGGAAGCTTTTTTGTCTGATGCTTCTGCTTAATCGGTTAGAGCGTCAGCAAAAACAGCAGCTCTTTTTAATTCTGGTAGATGAGCTATCTGGCTAAAGTCTTGGAATGGTGATTTAACTTCTAAGTCAAAACTTTTTGGTATCCCCTTAGGCTGGGTTCACACCTAGGCATACCGAATATGCGCGTATGTCGCGCGTTTTTACCGCGTTCCGCTGTAAAAAATGCGCGTTGCCGACGGCTACCTGGCTGTATCCCAATGTATACGCGCAGCAAATACGCCCCAAAGAAGCTCCTGTACTTCTTTGGGCGTTTTGCAGCGCGTTCCTATGCGCTGTAAAACGCCCAGGTGGGAACCATGCCCATATGCAATCATTGCTTTTCACATGTTGAGCGTTTTACAGAGCGTTGGAATGCGCTGTAAAACGCCCAGGTGTGAACCAGGCCTTAGGTTAATTTGATTTTTGGTTCAGGCTTGGATGAGATCCTAGCTAGATCCTCTGAGAAGGGTAAAAAGTTCCCAGATAAGAAAAGAAGGCAGAGTAATTGTAGACTTTTTTTTTTCATGGCCCACAGGAGCAGAGAAGGCAGGTAAATAGATCTCAGCCCCTGATAAGGAAGTGGCCTTTTAGCAAGGACAAAGCAAAGGGAGGTTTGCTTTTTACTTCTCCTGACTCCTCCAAGACAGATACAAAGTGATGTCAGAAGCAAGGTGGGGGCAAGGCTTTCCCTTTTTTGTCATCAATGAGAAAATAAAAGGTTACCATTTAGAATTTATGATCTGCCCCCCACAAACGTATTTTTTGACCCAGATTACCAAAAAATCAAAAGAAAGCATTTGCATTAGAGGAGCGTATCACCCCCCCCTCGCTTCCCAGAAAGTAATTGTGCCAGTACCAGAAGATCAATATTTATGGGGTTCTATCCCCATGTCTTCCTGGTGCCAAAACCAGGTGGAAAATTCAGGATGATCCTAAACCTAAAAAAATTTAACATTTTCTAGTTTTCAGAAAATTCAGGATGGAGGGTATTTACTCAGGAAGATCCTCCTGCAATTGGTGTTTTTGGTCACCCTTTAAAACATGCGTACCTGCACATTCCCATTTTTCTAGAGCATCAGCATTTCCTGAGGTTCGCTGTGCAGACAGAAAATGGCATTTTCCATTGGCAGTTTCAGGCCTTGCCATTTGGCCTGTCTGGATCTTTACCAAGGTCCTAGCAGAGGTCATGGCTTTCTTGCACTTTTTGGAGATTTTTTTAATCCCTACTTGGACGACCTCATTTATGCTCCTTCAGCAGAAGAAGTTTTTATGTGATCTTCAGGCAGTCCTGGGTTTTCGGAAAGATTCTGTGTTGCAAAAACGTGTTCTCACAGAAGAGGTGGTCACCAGGATTCTGGAGCTACAGTGGGGCAAAAAAGTATTTAGTCAGCCACCAATTGTGCAAGTTCTCCCACTTAAAAAGATGAGAGAGGCCTGTAATTGGCATCCTAGGTAGACCTCAACTATGAGAGACAAAATGAGAAAACAAATCCAGACAAATCACATTGGCTGATTTGGAACGAATTTATTTGCAAATTATGGTGGGAAATAAGTATTTGGTCACTTACAAACAAGCATGAGTTCTGGCTCTCACAGACCTGTACCTTCTTCTTTAAGAGGCTCCTCTGTCCTGCACTCATTACCTGTATCAATGGCACCTGTTTGAACTTGTTATCAGTATAAAAGACACCTGTCCACAACCTCAAACAGTCACACTCCAAACTCCACTATGGTGAAGACCAAAGAGCTGTCGAAGGACACCAGAAACAAAATTGTAGACCTGCACCAGGCTGGGAAGACTGAATCTGCAATAGGCAAGCAGCTTGGTGTGAACAAATCAACTGTGGGAGCAATAATTAGAAAATGGAAGACATACAAGACCACTGATAATCTCCCTCAATCTGGGGCTCCACGCAAGATCTCACCCCGTGGGGTCAAAATGATCACAAGAACGGTGAGCAAAAATCCCAGGACCACACGGGGGGACCTAGTGAATGACCTGCAGAGAGCTGGGACCAACGTAACAAAGGCTACCATCAGTAACACACTACGCCGCTAGGGACTCAGATCCTGCAGTGCCAGACGTGTCCCCCTGCTTAAGCCAGGAAATGTCCGGGCCCGTCTGAAGTTTGCTAGAGAGCATTTGGATGATCCAGAAGAGGATTGGGAGAATGTCATATGGTCAGATGAAACCAAAATAGAACTATTTGGTAGAAACACAACTCGTCGTGTTTGGAGGAGAGAGAATGCTGAGTTGCATCCAAAGAACACCATACCTACTGTGAAGCATGGGGGTGGCAACATCATGCTTTGGGGCTGTTTCTCTGCAAAGGGACCAGGACGACTGATCCGTGTACAGGACAGAATGAATGGGGCCATGTATCGTGAGATTTTGAGTGCAAACCTCCTTCCATCAGCAAGGGCATTGAAGATGAAACGTGGCTGGGTCTTTCAACATGACAATGATCCCAAACATACCGCCCGGGCAACGAAGGAGTGGCTTCGTAAGAAGCATTTCAAGGTCCTGGAGTGGCCTAGCCAGTCTCCAGATCTCAACCCCATAGAAAACCTTTTTGACTGTGACTGTTTGAGGTTGTGGACAGGTGTCTTTTATACTGATAAGTTCAAACAGGTGCCATTGATGCAGGTAATGAGTGCAGGACAGAGGAGCCTCTTAAAGAAGAAGGTACAGGTCTGTGAGAGCCAGAACTCTTGCTTGTTTGTAAGTGACCAAATACTTATTTTCCACCATAATTTGCAAATAAATTCGTTCCAAATCAGCCAATGTGATTTGTCTGGATTTGTTTTCTCATTTTGTCTCTCATAGTTGAGGTCTACCTATGATGCCAATTACAGGCCTCTCTCATCTTTTTAAGTGGGAGAACTTGCACAATTGGTGGCTGACTAAATACTTTTTTGCCCAACTGTATCTCAGATTGCCGTGACAGCAGATTCCCTTCCCTTGCGGGAAATGAGGATTTTGGGTGTAATGACGACCTCTATTCCGGCTTTAAATTGGGCTTAGACTCACTCGAGACCCCTTCAGATATTTATTTTGTTTTGAAGGGACAGCGGGCTTCCCGACCAAAACTTTTTTCATTTGACAGCATAGCTCTTGAGAGGAAAATTCTAGAAGACAAGGGATGTTTCCAGAAAGTTATAAATACTTTTCTTTCCAGTAGAAAATTGGTGATCAGAAAAATGTATTGTAAGGTGTGGAAGGTGTTTTCGAGGTGATGTCAACACAATAATAGTGTGCCCTTCCACATCGCTTATTTTCGACTTCTTGCAAATGGGTATAGAAAAAGGGTTGGCTCCCTTGGTAGGAATGTTCTCCCATCCTGAAAGGTTGGTTTGTTTTTTTCTTGCTTATCCACTCAGGTTGCTGTCCTGGAAGACGATTGGACAAATTCTCCGTTAGACTTACCGGTAACAGGATTTCTGGGAATCTTCCAGGACGGCAAGCCCACTTCCCACCCTTTGTTATTAGTTTTTGTCTATCTGTTTGGTGTCAGGTTTTCCTCGTGCACAGGTGGAGGTACTCTATGTTAATCTCAACTGAGGGTCGAGGGGGGTGGGAGGGGGTTTTTAAACTGCTTTAATTGTGTTTCCTGTAGAAGGAGGAACCAAGCATCTCTCAGGTTGCTTCCCAGAAATACAGTTACTGGTAAGTCTAATGGGTAATTTCATTTTAAGGTCATTTTCATTAAACTAACTTTGCATAACAGCAGCGCCAACAAGAAAAAAATAAGTGACAATATGCTGTATATCAAGTATACAATGTCAGAGTATGGTGCATAGATACCGTTACCATATTAACAGGCATACAATAAAAGAACATAGTTCTATCACCGTATACATATTGTGGAATGAACACACACAGGGGAGATTAATAATAGAGGGCCATATGATTAAATGAGATCCACTAACAAGAACATAGGAAACACATTATCAAGAAGACTCTATTTTGTGAGGAGAGGGCGTCTGAATGTAAGTCTTTCTTACTGTACATAGCAGGCATCTCCACATGCCTGCAGACCATGCCTCATCCCCTACATAATGCCAGCTTACCCCTGAAACCTAGGGTGCAAGTACCAATCTGCTTCGTGGTCCTTGTCCCTAGCCCCACCCCCTCCAATCCCTTGCACTTTACTGTCAGTAAGGCCCTGTTCCCACTGCGCGATATGCAAATCGCGCGTTTAAGCTTGCATTGAGCAAGCTTGAATCGCGGCTAAATCCGCTCCAAAAAGGGTCCTGCTGTAGCGACACACGACCCGCGACAGCAGGACCCTTTGCCCCATTGGATTGCGGTAATTTTCCGCGATATCACGGGAATTACCGCGCGATAAATCGCTCAATGTGAACGGGGTCTAAGGCTGAATATCAAAGTGATGGGCTAGTAGTGCAGTGTAAGACCCCGTTCACTTTGAGCGATTTATCGCGCGATATCGCGGCAAATTACCGCGGTCTAATGCAATCCAATGGGGCAAAGGGTCCTGCTGTCGCGGGTCGTGTGTCGCTACAGCAGGACCCTTTTTGGAGCGGATTTAGCCGCGATTCAAGCTTGCTCAATGCAAGCTTGAACGCGACATCGCGCGGCAAATATCACAATGTCACGCAATATACAAACGCGCGATTTGCATATCGCGCAGTGGGAAAGGGGCCTAAGGGGTGGGAGGGAGCACTAACTGGTTGGTTCCGCTTGTTTGGAGGGTGGCACTATGCAAGAAATTACTTGTAAGTGCCTGATCTTCATAGTAATACTTAATTTTCCCTACAGGTTTGCTTTATTACATGTTATGGCGCACAGTTGTTTACTTATATGCAGTGTTCTACAGTACACACACTAAATTGCCAAAAGTATTGGGACACCCCTCCTAAATCATCAGGTGTTCAAATCACCACCATAGCCACAGGTGTAAAAACTCAAGCACCTACGCATGCACACTGCTTCTACAAACATTTGTGAAAGAATGGGTTGCTCTCAAGAGCTCAGTGAATTCAAGCGTGGTACTGTGATAGGTTGCCACCTATGCTAAGTCCATCCGTGACATTTCCTTGCTACTAAATATTCCACGGTCAACTGTTAGTGGTATTATAGCAAAGTGGAAGCAGCTGGGAATAACAGCAACTCAGTGGTAGGCCACGTAAAATGACAGAGCGGGGTCAGCCCATGCTAAAGCGCAGATTACACAGAAGTCGCCAACTGTTTACAGAGTCAATAGCTACAGACCTCTAAACGTTGTGCGGCCTTCAGAGTGTAAAGGAAGGTGTCCCAATACTTTTGGCAATATAGTGTATATGCAAGTCACAGAACCTTTCATGACATTGAATAATTTATGGCAGCTAATTTTGATGGTATTTCTATTTTGTTCTTGCTGTGTAAACACTGAAACTCCTTAAAAGTGTCTTGATTGTTAGCTTTCCCCTAAAAATGTTTATTTATTGTGTTTTGTGATTTCAGGAGTACACCATGTTGTGTATGCTGTGTGGGAGAGCAGAGGACTCCGTCAGCATTCTGCCTGATGACCCACGGCAGATGGCTCCACTCTTCTAGCTATATTATAACCTCTGAGTCTTTTTATATTTGTTTGCCTTATGTATATTCTATCAGCATAAAATGTGTTGTGTCAAGTGAATACATTGAAAATAATAATGTTACTGTGCAGCATGCAGTTATAGTCAGTGTTGTTTCCTACAAATTATAATTTTATATTGAACTTTTCAGAGCAGTGTGTAGAGCTGCAGCTAACGATTATTTTCAAAATCGATTAGTTAGCCGATTTATTAAGTTCGATTAATCGGATAAAAAAATAAAGTACATTTTTAAAAATGGCTCCAGTAATGGACTACCGGTTTGTATTGAGATTGTAGTCCATCACAGGAACAAGCTTGCAGCGGTGGAAGTAAAAAAGAAAAAAAAAAAAGTGTGGTGTGCAATATAGTGAAATGGAAAGTGTAAAATTATACAGCAATGAATGCAGAATACAACACATCCCAGCAATAGTACATTATAGCTGGCGGTATTCTGCATTGCGCTGTATAATGTACTATTGCTGGGTTTTTCAGTCCTCTATAGCTGGCGGTATTCTGCATTGCGCTGTATAATGTACTATTGCTGGGTTTTGTAGTCCTCTATACAGCACAATGCAGAATACCACCAGCTATAGAGGACTACAAAACCCAGCAATAGTACATTATAGCTGGCGGTATTCTGAATTGCACTGTACTATTGCTGGGTTTTCTAGTCCTCTATAGCTGGTGGTATTCGGCATTGCACTGTATAATGTATTATTCCTTGATTTGTAGTCCTCCTATACAGCGCAATGCAGAATACCACCAGCTATATAGGGATACAACAAATCCCAGCAATACATTATACATGCAATACATTATAGAGCACCATGTGTGGGCAACAAGGCCGTCTTTAAGGCAGGGCAAAAGGGGCACTTGCCCGGGGCCCAGTCATTGTTGTGGGGCCCTGTACTTTCTATTTTAAAAGGGAAATATCAGGGGTCTGTTTAGACCCCTAATATTTCCCTGAAGCCCCTAAAAGTAAAGTTAAAAATAATAAAAAATGAATGAATTCACTGGGGGGGACATAATAATAATGACACTGGGGGGGACATAATAATAATATTGACACCAGGGGACATAATAATGACACTGGGGGACATGCTCAGGTATTATTATTATTGTTGCTAATCTATGCAGTGGAAGTGGTAGGTGGCGAATTATCCACATATTTACCATGAAAGTAGAATTATGGGGAGAGTGAAATGCGCTCTTCCCCTAGTTACTGAAGCTGCCACAGGTTGGCTCTCTTGATTGAGATCTGAGCAATCACATAACGCTGATCACGCAGTTCCCGCACTCGCTCTCTGTAGAGAGTGGTTACTGTCAGTCACGGCTCCTCGCAGGAATACCCCCCTCTCTGATTCTCCAACGCTGACTGGAGGGATGGATGGGGCGGACACAACCTCTAGAGAGGTAGAGTCAGCTGTCAATCAGGTGGTGGGGTGGATCTGGACCATATTTTGTGGATCCATCCCTGCTGCAGCGTGGCTCTGCTCTGTCAGCATATAGCAGGCAATATTGCATGGGGGGCCCAAGAAAATGTTTGCCGGGGTCCAATCAATATTAAAGACGGCCCTGGCGGGGAAAGTGCAGGCTTACCTGAGCAGTCTTCCAGCAACTTGTTTATGAGGTCGGACCTGTCTATCTGCAGCTGTCATCCCCCCACACCTGCTCCTCCTTACTTCTCCCTGTGCCAATCGTGGATGTGGGTGGGCGGTGAGCGTGAGGAGGTGCGGCGTGTGGATGCGGGCGGGTCTGGCAGCAACGAGTGTGAGGTGGGGAGGAAGTGTGGCGCGCAGCGTGTGTGGAGCCGTGAACAGGGCCAACCAATCGGAAGTCGATTAATCGATGATTGAAAAAGTTGACAACTTCATCGATTATGTCGATTAGTTGTTGCAGCCCTAGCAGTGTGTTTAATGGTTTTGATACATTAGCATTCCTCTAAGCTTCCTTTTCTCTAAGACCCCGTTCACATTGAGCGATTTATCGCGCGGTAATTCCCGCGATATCGCGCTCCAATGCAATCCAATGGGGCAAAGGGTCCTGCTGTAGCGGGTCGTGTGTCGCTACAGCAGGACCCTTTTTTGAGCGGATTTAGCCGCGATTCAAGCTTGCTCAATGCAAGCTTGAACGCGACATTGCGCGGCAAATCTCGCGATGTCGCGCAATATGCAAATCGCGCAACAAACGCGCGATTTGCATATCGCGCAGTGGGAACGGGGCCTAAGAAAGCATCAGAATGGTTAAACTATATATTTTAGTAAGAGATTTCCAAGGATTGTCTTGTTTTGAAAAATGCTAATTGCCTGGCTGTTATCCTGACCCTGTGACCTTAATGCTTTGAGTCGCTGAACAACAGGGAACACATAGTGATCCAGAAAGTTAAAAGTTCTTTTAGATACGTTTTCGTTACTCAGACTGCTAATGTCTTTTGGTCAGTATACCAGCCAGGCCACTAGCATTTCCTGCAGGAAAGGTCACCAGTGGTACTCTCCATACTCTCATGACAGGTTTTCTTTAAAGCAGTGGTTCTTAACCTGTGGAACCTCAGGACCCACATTTGTCCTTGGTCAAAAAGTCGCACGGCATTGCAGTCTCGGGCGCAGGTGATCGGATTGTGGGTGGGAGGTGTGTTTGTGTCATTAAAATTAATCACAATGCACCTTCCACACCAGAGCGCCTAGTAGGTGTGATTGCATGGTACAGTGCATTAATTGCATTGGACTGTGCAATTGACGCACTGTACTAGTGTGAATGGACCCTTAAAACACTGACAGACACACAACCACAGAAACAATCTCACACACTCTCAAACATTCTCACACACACACTGCAAAAATAAAATTGTCTTTTTTTTTTTTAAAGATCTACCCAGTCTCCCCCTACCTTATGAGAACTAGAGGTGATCCTCAGCCTGGGGTCCAGTGTGGGCTGGTGTGCTGTGACGGAGCTCCATCCATATGTGCATTGTTTGTACAGCACTCTTGTGCACCCTGTAGAGGTGCTGGGAGCCAGAATGTGACTCCAGTCCAGGCACCTTTACAGGACACATGGAGCTGTAAGCAATGCACATATGAATGGAGCTCCCTTTTGGCCATACTTCCAGCCCACCCCACCTCAAGCTGACATGCAGGACCAAACAGCATATTTTGAATGGCTGCTCGGCGTGAGAACTGATGGTGCAGTGCTAGGGGGAGGCTGAGGAGTCTCTCGCCTAGAAAAGTGGAAGGCATGTGGCGACCCACCAGTTGAGAGCCAAGGCTTTATATAGTTTATCCATAACCAAACTTGAGCCAATATAAACATCACTAATACTGGGATGTGTTGTAAGCGCATGTCTCAATTGTAGATATTTGTAAAACTGGGAGCTTGGCAGCAAATATTCCGTTTGTAGAGACTGAAATGTTCCCATCGTACCTTTTGTCATAAATTTGTGCTAATTTTAAAATCCCTGCTCTTTTCCTAGGAATATTCAACAAGCCTTTGGTTGACATCCATACTTTACCAATCAGTCTTATAGTGGGCAAAGATGCAAATTCCTTCAAATATAGGGGTGTCTCCAGGGCCATTAGGGGATCTTTTGATTGAAACAAGTATTTAATAAGAATAAACTAGGGCTGCTACAACTAATCGATGTTATAATCGATTAGGGCTGCAGCTAACGACCCTGCTGCTGTTGACCACCCGCTGCTCCTCAAAAAACTCCACTCGCTTGGCCTACAAGACTCTGCTCTCTCGTGGTTCTCCTCCTACTTATCTATGCGCTCCTTTAGTGTCACCTACAATTCTAACTCCTCCCCTCCTCTTTCTGTAGGGGTCCACCAAGGCTCTGTCCTTGGACCCCTTCTCTTCTCTATCTACACCTCCTCCCTTGGTCAACTAATAACCTCACATGGCTTCCAATACCATCTCTATGCCGATGACATAATTTGACAAATTTATCTTTCCACTCCACAACTCTCCCCCTCTGTGTCCTCTCGTGTCACTAATCTACTAACTGACATATCCGTCTGGATGTCACAACATTTCTTAAAACTCAATCTTTCAAAAACTGAGCTCTTGATATTTCCTCCTACCCGTGCACCTTCCCCCAACATTTCAGTTGGGATTTATAACACTTTGTAGTCCTCTGTAGCTGGCGTTATTCTGCATTGCACTGTAAATAATTTATTACTGCGATTTGTAGTCCTCTATAGCTGGTGGTATTCTGCAGTGCGCTGTATAATAATTATACGGCACAATGCAGAATACCACTGACCAGTTATAGAGGAATACAACAAATGCCAGCAATAGTACATTATACTATAATGTACGATTGCTGGGATTTGTAGTCCTCTGTAGCTGGCGTTATTCTGCATTGCACTGTAAATAATTTATTACTGCGATTTGTAGTCCTCTATAGCTGGTGGTATTCTGCAGTGCGCTGTATAATAATTATACGGCACAATGCAGAATACCACTGACCAGTTATAGAGGAATACAACAAATGCCAGCAATAATACATTATGATAGACTAAACCCTGCACTGATGGAAAAAAAGATCTAAACAGAAAAAACGGACTAGCTAAAAGCTGCTAGACTCAGGCGGTAAGCCTTATGGGTTAATAGATGCAAGGTACAGCGCTAAAAGCCTCCCGGTGATGCACACACAAATGTTATGGTGTTGAATGAATTAATACAATGAAGTGTCAAACATACTCTTCACAAAGAATTATATGTAAATAAATCAAATCTCTGTGTAAATAGAAGTGCACAACATGTGACACATAATACATACAAAAAATCCCTTGATACTGTCTATATGACAAAACGCGTCGGGGCGGGCCTTCATTCACGTCACATTTTCAGTCTGGAGAGTCACGTTTGACAGACCAGCCGGCTGTTTTATAATTTTTATCTTAGCGCTATTGTGTGTTTTTTATACAATAGATTCCTTATTTACTACACCATGAGCGTATTGCTCACTTTCTTCATGGCCTTGATTGGGAGATAATCATAGGATCCTAGCGAGCTTCAAAGACGGGAGGACGTAGAGCTCCGGTTTCCATCCCGG